TGAGAAACCACATTGGCATCCACAACATCAATCTTCCGCTTATTCGTTTAATTTACCTTGAAAATATTCTAGCAAAACCAACCACAAATAAAACTATTGTTTGTCACTAATTTATTAAAACTATGTTTTCAGTAAACTAAACTGCATATATTCATAAATTATATTTTGTAGAGAGCTACATACCCCGCCAAAAGGATCTTGTTTTTCTATCTAATAACAACATAGATGAATAGTAAAAGTTGTATACTTCAATAAAACTCAAGTCATTATATCTTGCAGAGTCCCCATTGTGAATCGGATTGATGCATCAATCCAAATAGTAGTAGTAATGAAAACAATCAGGCCAAAATCAAGCTTTAGTTAGGGATTCAATTAGGCAAAATTCACACTAAGGAAACAAACCAATGTCATTACAAACGTCTAGAAATTGAGAAAAATATCGACAATGACTACCATTTTATTTCTTCTTCGCGCCCTTTATAAAACCCCAAATATGTTCCCTCCTACTTATAACCCCCTGCTACATACTATTTACTTGATCAGATCATCGCCATATAGCTAGCTAGTAGTATGTCACTCATGAACATAATAAACATAATGAACAACCCTCACAACTCTACTTTCTATTTTAACATCCAAGGAATCGAGTTGCAATAGGCCTCCTATGAAAACGATCAATTATTCAACCAAAGGAGAGATGCTCCAAGTCCAAGCAACAAACCCTTTGAATTATATGTTACATGTTTACATCAAAGTATACAGGATAATAGGGAACCATAAAACAACTACCAGAATAACGAAGAAGAAATACAACCACTGAATCAAAAAGGGAAATTTACTATCCAGTCGCCGTAATCTGAAAGAAACTAAGAAAAGAATGGGAATAAGACTATAACTCGGTCAGTCAATCGCTAGCAGTCGGATATCTCCGAGGAAGAAAGATCAATTGCCCACTACGGATCCAAAGGGAAGAGGGAGAAATGATAGGTTGGACTTTTATTCGTCAATAAGCAAAAAATATGTTAGAGTTGTTTAATTCTTTCCCAACAAATCATTGCATCATGTAACTCCCACCTCTTATTCTCCTACAAAGAGGGAAAAAAACTCAATATCCCTTACCAGTTCCTTTCCTATATCTATATACAAAAAGTAGAGAAGACAAATTCTAGAAACTCAAAATTTAAGCAAATAAGAAGAGAGTTTTATTTGTTTTGGCGGGGCTTGATCTAGTTTCTTTATTATCAATGTTGTGTTTTATTTTCAATGTTGTATTGGAAAAGGAATAGGAACAAACCAGAATGTTGCATTCATTTTTATTAACTTAATTTACTTTTTATTGATAATGATGACAATTTACATAGTAAGAAAAAAGCACACCAATTAGACCTTGTCTTGTGTGGAAGGGTGAGAGCTAGCCATGTACCGATGTGGCACTAAATTAGTTTGAGATTCCTACAATATTAAGTAATGACTATTTATGATTTCTTGGAATTTTTTTTATAAAATGTAATAACTCGTAGGAACATTGTGACATTTTACATACATTTGAATTCTTGAATGTATTGTAGACATATCTATTAATATGTAAGAATATGTATAACAATTTTATTTTAATCATATACTAATGGGCACTTTCTAAATACAAATTGCTTACTATTACAAACCAAAAGATTTCCATTTTGAGACTTCGATATTGAAAAAGTTTTTGTTATTGTCAAAATTTGGTATGGAGTCACAGACTCACAACCATATAGTTGGGGTTGTTTGCTTGATGAATATGGAGCTATCGTGAACTTTGTCCAACCATTGCTTGCGTCATGTATTTAGCGGCAACAAATATTTGGGTCTCATGTATTTTAAGGTTCCAAATTCGTGGGCTCCGTGGATTTGAAAATTTCACCTCTTTAGAAGGAAATTGATCATGGACTTTGAAGTCTATTATTTATGACCAACCTACCCCTCATATTTCATTTTCCTTCTCTTACCAATGAGGGTAATATATGTCAGTTTCACTTCCAACATACAAATTCAATTAACATAATGCATCATGAAATCTATGAAACGAAATATGGTATTTTCAAATCCATAATGAACCAAAAACCCTCATATATCCATGCTTTTACAAAATCCAAGTTTTATTAAAACCTTAAGTTTTCAAATCCACGAAGCAAACGATCCCAATGTTTTCTTACAATTGCCTTACTAAACTCATCCTTATTAAAGATTCTTTATTTTAACACAATACCTCAATTTAGATTCTTATAGCTACAAAAGATTTTTGTTTAGATATCTCAACTAACACACTTATGTTTATTTATTGCATCAATCCTCGAATTTAGATTTGTCTACCAAGACATCAACTATTAAATAAATTTTTTCAAACCTTATTTGTTTAGAAATTACTTAGCATTCGACTTATGACCTCGATAGAGATTGTTCAATTAATATGATCTAGAGTGAATATTTTAATATGAACCCTAGGACAAATTATAAAGTATTACACGCCTGATTCCTCTTAATTTAAGAAACTGAAGGTAGAACATGAATATATGTTTTCACTTAATCATGATGAATAAGAAGTTTTTTTAAAGAAAGAACTATTATTGCTTAGTCAAATTTAGATTCAGACCTTTTGCTATATAAGACTTGTTTAATTTGATAGAAATATATATTAGAAATAATTCGACAAAAAAATACATTAGAAATAAGAGAGTTGTTAATACAAAAAATCTAAATTCATATATTTTATTTTCAGAGTCGATTGATAAAAATATTATTATATGTGTGTACTTTTTTAATCATTTGTTTTCAATGTTTCTATTGTAATATTTTGTAATTTATACAAATATTATTATATATGTGTACTTTTTAAATAATTTGTTTTCAATGTTTCTATTGTAATATTTTGTTTAATTGATACAAATATTATTATATAAGTGTACTTTTTAAATTTTTTGTCAAAATGTAACTTATTATTAAGTTTTGGTGAAAATGAGTAGAAAATTTACTTGATAAGATTTAATCATATACTTTTTATTTAAACAAATTCGATATAGTCACTCTCTATTTCCATCTTTATATTTTTTTTAATTGACAAAAATATTATACATTTGTGTGTTTGTTTACATTCTCATAAAAATGTAATTTATTATTAATTTTTAGTAAAAATGAGTAGAAATATTAAAAGAAGAGAGAGATAGCTCCACAAATAGATCAATAATGAATTTTTTGTTTGCAAAAAAAAGTTGTCAACCTTGGCAACTTGTGAATTCTCCAAGTGCTTATGTGGCAGGAAGTTACTTTTGAATTGTCATAATAGATAGATAGATAGATAGATAGATAGATATATAGATAATATTTAATCATATACTTTTTATTTAAACAAATTCGATATAATCACTCTCTATTTTCATCTTTATATTTTTTTAATTGAAAAAAATATTATACTTTTGTATGTTTGTTTACATTCTCATAAAAATGTAATTTATTATTAATTTTTAGTAAAAATTAGTAGAAATATTAAAAGAAGAGAGAGATAGCTCCATAAATAGATCAATAATGAATTTTTTGTTTGCAAAAAAAGTTGTCCACCTTGGCAACTTGTGAATTCTCCAAGTGCTTAGGTGACAAGAAGTTACTTTTGAATTGCCATAATATATAGTATAGATAGATAGATAGATATAGATAGATAGATGTGTAGATGTAAGGGAGAAGCTAGGGTGCTAACTCCTATAGGGGTTAGCACCATCCTAACCATTATCTACATCATTTATTCATGTTTTTAATCTAACGGTGCTACTTAATTAAAGGGAAATTTAGAACAAAATGGCGAAAAAAGAGGAATTAACGCTGATTTTTTTGGGAATATGCGAATTAAATGGGAAGGGCACTCCAAGTCTGTTATTTACAACTGTCGAGGGTTGCATTAAGTTTTTTTCCCTGAAAATACAAAAAATAAAATTCTTTAGCAAATACAATGTAGATATCCATATTATAGGAAGTAAAAAATGCTGCTACTCTTAAAAAAAAAACTCCGCATCCTGCAAAATCACTACAAATGAAAAATGAAAACTACTCCCACCATACAAAAACACTAGTGTTGACAAATGAAGAACACTCCCGCCTGCAAAAGTACTACAAATGAAAAACAATCCCACCCTACAAAAACACTACTAGTTAAACTGCTACTACAACAAAATGGATTCCACCCAAAAATAAATCCCAGCAAGCATAACCTTTTGTTAAACCCAAAACGGTTGCCGGAGAGGTAACTCGAAAAAAATCAGGGAAGAAGCAACCGGAAGAAAAATAATGTGGGAGACTAACGACGCATCGATAAGATGACAAGCAATGTTAGAGCGACATAGAATGGGAAAAGGTGAAAGGAAATAGATGGTCATAAGAGGGAATTTGGATTGAAAATCTTTAGCAAAAGAAGATATTGGAAAGGAAGAAGAAAGAAGAAGAAAAGGGAAAGAGAGAAGAGACCGATTACCAGTTTGTCACTCTTCATATCCATGAATTCGGCATGTCTCCCACCCCTTCCTCCTGATAATATCGCCTGGCAGTACCAAAAATGCCCCCACTTTATTAAAACCGTTAAATTATAGAAAAAAGCAATAAATGGTAATTGTACGAGTTGGCACCGTGCTAACTCCTTAGTGGGTTAGCATGTGATCTCATTCCGTAGATGTAACTATTTGGCCTAGGGAGATACTTATACTGAAGAATTAGGTGGCTTGATAATCTAATGCAACCACTTCAGACATTTTAGCAACCGTCGCTCCGTCGTAAAAGACCCACTCTATTTTATTGAAATTATTGGAGAAACGGTATACTACATGAGGAAAAGTATAACAGCACTACTGAGGTGGATTTTGCAATATTGTCCAAAAACATGTCATCTATTCAAATCGCACCACACAGTATATTTGTTGTATGAGACAATAATAATTATGAATGATGATAATAATATTACAACATTATTTAGATACCAATCCAACTCATACCAATATTTATTATAAACCACAATTATTATGATGAAATTTCTTAAAAGTCCCTCTTGGAAACTCTCATCTTCAAGCCGTTTTCCATTGTCAGCATAATAGACGCAAGTGGCTTGACAAGTTGACCCTCTACCATGTCAAACTTGTAGTTCCATAAAAGATTACTAACCACGAACTTGAGTTGCATAAAAGACAATGACTTCCCCAAACAAGACCTTGGGCCTGCCAAAAAATTTAAAAACTTGTACGATGGGACGTGGATTATGTTTCCTTGTTCCGAAATCCATCTTTGAGGCTTGAACTCCATGCAATCTTTCCCCCATATCTCTTTCATCTTTCCCATGGAGTATATGGAGAACAAAATCCTAGTGCCCTTATGAATGAGATGGCCGCTTGGGAGCATATCATCTTCAACTGCACATCTAACCTCAAATGGTGCAGGTGGGTACAACCTCAACGTCTCGCAGATGGTTGCATGGAGATACACAAGTCTATTCATCGCATCCTTAGTTATTATGGGAAACCCTAATCTTCCTCCTTCTCTTTGAGTTGGACCCGGTGTAGCCATTACCACTACTCGCTCAAACTCCTCGAGAATCTTTCTCTCAACCTCAGGGTGGATCGCAACCAGCCAGAGCAACCAAGTTAAAACGGAAGACATAGTGTCTTTCCCTGCTGCGACTAATGTCACTCCAAAATCACGTAGAAATTTATCTGAACTTTCTCCTTTCTCATCCGCTACCATCCATTGTGTTAGGAAATCAAGTTGTTGACGTCCTTCTTCTTTGTGCAACTCTTGTTTCTTAGCTTTCAAGACATCGTATAAAAACTCATCCAAGATTTTAATACTTTGACTAATCTTCTTCTCCGATCCAACCCCAAGTCTTCTCTGGAATTCCCACACACCTCTGGGAACGATAAGTCGGTATATGGCCGCCTCCTCAATGTCGTCGTATGCTTTACCACATGAGAAGGTATCTAAACGTCTGTCAACACAAAGGTAACCTGGTACAGAAATAAAATTGATTGGTATATTGCACAAAATGAGCTATTATCTCTAATACTGTAAAAAAAATTCTGCAAAAGTATTGAAGGTTTAAAACAACCACATCATTTGAGCAACACCGCCGTCGCCTAACACTTTACCTGGATCGAATCCCAAGACCCACATGCAGTTATTGTCAAACATGAACCTGCTCACCACGTCCTGCATGTCCACCTGACCATCTCCGAGTCCTCGTGGCGAACAAATATCATCAAGGACTCGGAACAAGGTGCCCTCCATTTTCCGTTGGAGGGTTCCCATGACGAAGCTTTCGAACCCATCCTTGTTGAAGAAGGAATGGATCCTCTGTCGTTGAATCCTCCACGACTCGCCATCAGTGTTGACGATACCTTCCCCAAAAAACTCCTCAAATACGGCCATGAAATCTTCACCCTTCCCGTAGTTGGCGAAGTTCTTGCTGAAGATGTGGTTGGCGTTCATCGGATCGCTTGTGAGCACGAAGTCCAGCTTGGCGAACCATGGCCCTTTGAACACGAACGTGCCGCCGCTCTCTTTCACGACTCGATCGACGAAGCCGTGGAGATCGGTGGTTGCATTCCAAAGCAGGGCCGGAAGCATGCCCACCACCGGCCATTCGACGACGGAAGCGCTTTTGCTCTTGGATAGAAATGCTATCGAGCACCATAGAGATATGAAGAAGAGAAAAACTAGGAGCAAAATAGCTATGATCGACATTATTCTTCTACGGCTTAGTTGATATGGAATTATTGATAAAGTAAGTTAAGTAGCTATTACCCCTGGGCTGGGAGATATACTTACTTATATTAAAGGGCTAAAAACAAAAGTATTGATGACTTGCTTGAATGCATATCGATAGGTTAGGCATCCTCCAACGAAACAAAATTAGGTGCGTTGATTGATTGATAAGAACATTAAAAGCACAATTTATGACGAATTATATGTAACAACTTGCATGCATGGCTCTACCATATCCACGCACCACCACCTGGGCAACTGAAGAAATAAATGGTGATGCTAGTTGGCTCTTTTATATCAGCAATCATTCATCAATTTTGTTTCAATAATTTCAGTGGTGAGTGTTGAGTTATGAGATTGATTAATATGTTTAGGTAGGCCGGTTAACAAGCTTTAAGTTGAGCATGATATACACTAGCTATTACTATACGCTCGCGTGCACACTTGTTTTATGTACTTTGATATATTTTGATGAATAAAAATTATTGGTTGTTATTTATTAGACTAAATGAAATTTATGGTTCGAGTTAGAGAATTATCAACTGGAATTCACGCATTAAAAGTTATGGCATAATATAATGCCCCGAACTCCGATTAATTGTTAGTCTAAATAAGAAAATTCAACAAAAATACGATAGTTTGAACACATACATATAGCGTGCACTAGTATTCGCTAGCCTTTACTATATATATACTGACATAAATCGCACCCACAAACAAACCGTTGGCATCACTAAATCACACATATTGATGTGGCACGCATGTATCGATAAGTCATGCCTCTTCCAACCATCAAAATTCATGTCCCACTAGGACAACCGACGATATTTTGGATGGTTATGATCAATTTGCATGTGGTATTTATTGTCGACCTTCCAAAGTCAAGAATGGTCACCCGTGCATTATTGCTAAAATTACAAAGGGCTACTGAAACTGGGCCATGGATATGGGGAGTTAGGACGTTTAGAGTAGCGTAGCCAGTGGCGTCATCAGAATTTTACTTGAAGTCCAACGTAACAAAACAATATATGTTAATTTTTACTACTTTTTTATAATACGACTTGTTTTTATATTTTAAAACTCTTTTAAATCTTATTTATCATTCAAATTGTAAAGGTTGTGATCACAATATATTCCTTGAAAATTAATTGATAGCTTCATCATTCATTTGACATTGAAGTGTGTTCTTCACACAATATTTCATTTTGGAAAATATATTCTTTCAAAACTTCTATTAATTGATAGTAACAGAAAGTACTAATTTACAAGTCGATATGCCAATGAAAAAAAATAAATGAATCTATATAAGTAAAAAAAAAATATCATAAAACTAAATATTACTCTTTGACATTGAGGTCGTGAGGAAAAGAACACGTGAATCAAACAAAAGTTAGCTCTAATATCATATTATACCAAACAAAAAGGACCCTGAACAACACCACACCAACTCTTTCTTCTCCCTCCCAAATGTTGAGGTGGTAAGAATCAAGTTGGATGATTGCCAAATCACCAATCATGGGGTAGCGGATCAATCAACCACGATTCAAGGAACAGCTGCTCGACTTACCCTTTCTGCACAATTTCAAACAGCAACGGCTATTACAACATCTACTTAAAGGAGCAGCAGAGGGAGGTCTCGGTACTGAAGCAAACAGGAATTCCTCTGTGGCAAAGGGCTAGGGATTGGGTTTGGAATCAGTGGCTTTGAATCAAGCTGAGGAATAGGTTCAGCTTGATCAAAGGGTGTAAAGAATTCCTGCGCGAATTCTGGGTCTTGTGACATTTTGATTTTCTCACCAGAGTCTGTAGTGTCTTTCGTTTGTTCTTTCCTTGAGTCATAAAACGAAAATCAAAGTGTCTCTCAGGATAGTGGTACTATCCTGGGACGAGGAGTAGCCCTGTGGCGAACCTCGTTAAAAATCCGCTGTGCACTTTAATTTCTGCTCTGCTTCTTTCCTCCTCGTCTCAACTCTCTGTTTTGCAATCCTCTGGCTAGGTGAAGAAGACGATCTATTCAGTCCCTTCTTCTTCGAGCTTGGGCCGAGACTGTTTCAAGTTCTGGATCAGTCTTTATGATCTATGGGCTTGAGTCAGTAAAGCCCATTCGACCAGACTTCTGTCCAGTTAATAAAACGAGTTGTGGGTTTAGACCGATAAGTACAAACCGGTTCAATTGCTGATAGAGACTATCAAGTAAAAATCCCTAATTGCCTGTTCATTTCCCTCAATCGTCATTTTTACCTTCTCTCCTCACTGAGTCGTTCTCTTATTACAAGTGATATCAGAGCCTGGTTCTTGATCAGAGCTCACTACTGTCAAGGGAAGATCCAGCACAATGGCCTCTACAAATTTCGGCCATGCGTCATACAATCATCCACCGGTATTCACGGGATCAAACTACACCGCCTGGAAAAAGAGAATGAAGACTTTTCTCTGGGGAGTTGACGAAGAACTATGGATCGTTGTGCGCGATGAACCGCTCGAGATGGATGCGGATCAACAGAATTTCTGGTCAGCAACTCAGAAGAAGAGCGCTCAACTGAATCAAAGGGCCATGCACATCCTGCAAACGGCCATGTCACTCGAAGAGGTAGATAAGGTGGAACACTGCGAAACTGCTCAAGGAATCTGGAGCTCGCTGGAGAGCACCTACGAAGGGTCGTCAAACATCAGGGAAACCAGAATCGATCTCCTAGTCCACGAGTATGAATGTTTCGACATGGCTCCAGGTGAGGGAATTCACGAGATGTACTCTCGATTTACTCTTCTGATTAACAAACTGAAAGGTCTAGGAAAAACATACCTTGCTAAAGACCTAAATAGGAAAATTCTAAGATCTCTTCCTAAAGAATGGCTTCCTAAGAGAACAGCCATAGAGGAAGCTCGAAATCTGAACACCTTGTCTATAGATGAACTTGTAGGATCTCTGCTAAGCCATGAATATGTCCTTAAGCAGGTTAACAAAGATGATGAAAAAAGAAAAAAATCATTAGCCTTCAAATCTCAAGTTATAGAATATGAGTCTGATTCGGAATTAGGAGAAGATTTCGAGAAGGAATTTGCTCTGGTCAGTAGCAAATTTCACAGGATGTTAAAGTATAAACAAGAGCAAAAACAAAAAGGAAATGAAAAAAATTCTTATAATCGTTCTAACCCTTTTGACAAAGTCAAAAGCTTTTCTCAAAATAGGTTGCGAGTCCCGCAGACCAGATCTTTTGAATCAGGTAGTCAAGAAAAAGAATCTTAAGACTGTTACAAATGTGGGAAGCCTGGCCATATCAGGGCTAACTGCCCACTCACCTTAAAGGCAAAAGAACGGGCAATGAAGGCTACTACCTGGAGTGATTATGAATCCGAAGAAGAAGAAAATCAAGGAGAAGAAGAAGCTTTCATGGCTTTTGGTAAGATAGATGATTCAGAACTAAACTTCAAATCAGGTCAGAATTCTTATCTCTCTGTAGCTGATTCTAAATGGTACCTTGAAAGTGGATGTTCTCATCACATGTCTGGAAAGAAACATCTATTTAGCTCCTTAACAATGAAACGTGGAGGAAAAGTAACCTTTGGGGATGACAGTCAGGGTGAAATTATTGGGTCTGGTTGCATAGGAAACAGTTCCTTAACTGTGATAAATAATGTTCTTCTAGTAGATAGATTAAAACATAATCTTCTATCCATAAGCCAACTTTGTAGCAATGGTAATCGTGTCATGTTTGAAAATGATAAGTGCTCAGTAGAACAAATTAATGAAAACAAGATTATTTTGATAGGAAAAAGAGTCAATAACATGTATGTGGTTGACTTGACTGACTCAAGCATGCTTAATGCTAAATGCCTTCAAGTATCTTCTCAATCATCCGAATTCCTGTGGCATAAAAGACTAGGACACATTAGTTTGGCTAAGTTGTCTACTCTATCTAAATTCAATCTCGCTAGAGGGTTACCTAAATTAAAAGACAAAGCTGAATTTTTCTGCAATGCATGTGCTGCTGGAAAACACAAAAGAAAGAGTTTTAAACCTAAACCTGACATCACTACCACTAAAACTTTTGAATTAATTCACATGGACCTGTTTGGTCCTTGTAATGTCACCACCCTAGGAGGTAAAAATTATGTATTTGTCCTGGTTGATGACTACTCTAGGTACACCTGGGTATTCTTCTTAACTCACAAGGATGAGACTTTTGAGAAATTTCGTTCATTTGTCACTAGAAATAAACAATCCTTGAAAATCATAAGAAGTGACAATGGGGGTGAGTTTATTTCTGGTGAATTTGCAGATTTTTGTGATGAAATTGGAATTGTCCATACCTTTTATGCTCCTCGCTCACCTCAACAAAATGGGGTTATTGAGCGTAAAAATAGAACTCTAATAGAATGTGCTAGAACAATGCTACTAGATTATCAACTACCTAAATTCTTTTGGGCTGAATCAGTTAATACTGCTTGCTATGTCATTAATCGAGTCTTAATCAGAAAACAATTAAACAAAACTCCCTATGAAATTCTAAAAGGTAAAACTCCTAAAATATCTTACTTCCACCCCTTTGGATGTCCTTGTTACACTCTAAATACAAAAGATACTCTAGGTAAATTTGATGCTAAATCTTATCCTGCCACCTTTCTTGGCTATTCAACTAAAGGACAAGCATATAGAGTCTATAATAAACGAACTAGAAAAGTAGAGGAATCAGTTCATGTCAAATTTAATGAAACTGTTTCAACTGATTCTGATAATTCAATGACTATTGATCTAAGTGAACTCACCTCCTCTTCTCAAGACTTATGTAGTGAACAGGCTAATGCAGAAAAGTCACAAGTGATTGAATCTCAAGTTAAGATCCCTGAGAACACTGAAACTACTGCTGATGTACCAAAAGCCCCTCCTCACATCCAGAAGAGACATCCCGAGAGCCAAGTCATTGGTAAAATAAGTGATGGTCTTCAAACCAGAGGTAAGTACACCCCTGGCCAATATGCTTTTGTATCTCAATTTGACCAAAAAACTGGAAAGAAGCTATACAAGATGAATAATGGGGTCTATCTATGGTAGAGGAATTAAATCAATTTGAGCACTTGCACGTTTGGGACTTGGTTCCCAGACCTGAAAATGTTACAGTTATAGGTACTAAATGGATATATTGCAATAAATCTAATGAAGAAAATGTAGTGGTTAGAAACAAATCAAGATTAGTTGCTCAAGGCTACCTTCAAGAGGAAGGTGTGGACTTTGATGAAACCTTTGCTCCTGTAGCAAGGCTTGAATCCATTAGACTTTTGTGTGCTTTTGCCAGTTTTATGGGATTTCCTTTATATCAAATGGACGTAAAAAGCGCATTTCTAAATGGTTTAATACATGAGGAAGTCTATGTAGCTCAGCCTCCAGGATTCATAGATTTTGAACATCCAGATCATGTTTATAAGTTAAACAAAGCTCTGTATGGCCTCAAACAGGCTCCTAGAGCCTGGTTTGAACGTCTTTCTTCATTTCTCATTGAAAAATCATTTACTCAAGGCAGTATAGATAAGACTCTATTCATCAAACATGTGTCAAGTCACATTCTTATTGTTCAAGTCTACGTAGATGACATAGTGTTTGGATCTAGTGATCCCAAATTATGCACTGAGTTCTGTGAAACCATGCAATTTGTTTTTGAGATGAG